AAAGACTCGGCTGGTGCACTTCTTTTGACCACTTCTGCAAGAGCTGCTTCACGAAAAGACGGCCACTTTGGCCAACCAACCCATCTCTTCCCACAGCACCAGCCACTAGGGCTTGTCTCTCGACAAAAGCGGGAACCATGCCACACCTAGAATTCTAGCTCTGCGCAAAACTTCAGCTTTTTGGAGTACTATAGGAAACGCCGAGCCAGGCCAAAAATGAAACTCCGCTGCTGCTGGTTCAAATGAAGCAAAAACTGAATCGAACCAATTTCCTGTATGTAAATTTCCATCACTTTTGCATTGATCCACCGGCCTCTTCTCCGCACAAAGTCTGGGTCTTCTGTGGTCTGCAATTGCCACGTCGCACCGCCGGGTCGTAACGACCCGACGTCCAGTGACTTGACGCCGGGGTGTGACCCTGGAGTCAATTGCAGGGCGTTGAGAAGATCCTTGAATCTTAACCTGAAGGTATGGGCCGAAAAAGGCCAAAGGCGTTGGTGAGGAAGTTTGTCATGAAAGGAAAGCTCACATACACGGACTAGGTCACCTATATCCAGCTTAGCAGTTTGATGGCGCGCAGCAACAAACCTCGTTTTTGGCTCTCTGAGCCCCAGCAAGCAGAAGTTGTTTGAGTTCATCGTATCGGAGGGCAGCAAAATGTCACGCCGAAGGGCTCCCGTCATTTCAGAGGTACGTAAAAGTGCACCCCATCCCAGCGAAAGGACTCCAGCGACTTCATGCCGTCCCCAGCTTAGAGACACCGCCAACATAGCCAAAAGAATCTGCCACGGCATGGCTGTGTGATGGTTGCGGTCTTTCTTCACGGACCCATGCGAAGGCCACATCCCAAGCTGGTTGAAGCTGTCTCCGCAACACGGGTCTAAAAGAAACCAGGCTATTAATGGACTCGACAAAAACTCCATAGGGCCTCCCTGCTTCATAGAGCCTGCGGCCATATAGTTGCAGCACTTCATTTATTTGCTCCAGATTTCTTGTAGGCCTTTCAATCCAGAGTTGCATCTCGTAGCCGGCACGCTTGCACCAGGCAAAGAAATCACGCAGAAGCTTCTCTCGGTTTTCTGAAGTTGCTGTAGTCGGGTCTGCCCTGAGGCAGGGGGGGTCTCGAAAGCCGTAACACACGGCGATGGACATCCCCTTGGGTTTGCGGACCGATCATGCCATGGCTTCGAGTGAGACACGCGCCCGCTAGAACTAAAGCTGCTAGCTGCCAGGAGTGGACAGGAGAGAGGAAGAGGCAGAGGAGCGAAAGAGCAGAGAGAGGAGAGCCAGGGCCTTCACCAGGATAGCCCGAGAGAAAGGGAGCTGCCTGGAAGCGACACAGAAATCATGGGGCAAAGTCCAACGAAGTCCATAGAAGCGCGAAGCTGCGCCAGCCTTCGGAAGTCCATGAAATCCATAAAGTCCAAAAAGGAGCCTGATCCAGTTGGACGCCCACCTCCTCAAACATGGTGCTGCATTCAAAGCTCCAATATCATCCGCTGAAAGATGATCAATGCCTACTGCCAACGATGGTTCCCTGATGGCACGATCTCTGGTAGGATCGTCTGACGTGTTCAACCTTGTAGGGACGAAGGGAAGACTGATGTAGAGCCCTCCTGCTATGCAAAGAGCTCCATATTTGCAAATGAAAGGAGTAAGAGCACGGCTTGAAGATCGGCCCTTGGAAGCAGCACAACGTATAACATTCGAATCGACCATGTTGACGACCCTGATCGTCTGCCCCCTTTTCACAAGCCTCTCTGCAAGCCGAATGACGCTTTTGAGCTCCAGGATGTTAATGTGCCTCTTGGTCTGAAAACTCCAAGCATCGACCTTCTTCCATTTTGAGGACAAAGCCACAGTGTTCACGAGCTGGTTCTCGAGGCCTCTGACTGGCTTTTCGTCTTCTTCCAGGAGAGCCGCTTTTCGTGCTTGAATTGCTGCATGAAAACAAGATGCAATAGCGCTTGCCAAGCAGGGAGTATAGGATGCAGACGCCTTCGTATACCTTCCTTCAACTACCACACGCTTGTGATCCCTGCTGCATCTTCTGTTGAGCTCTCCAGGATCCAACCATACTGACAGAAAACAAAAACTCTTCTGGTGTGGCGATCCAAAAGCACAGGAATCAGATCTGGTAGTCCTGACACCCTCCTTCTCTTGCAGGTCTTGCCACGGCTTGAGGAACCTCATCATAGAAGTCCAAGGCTGCTCAGCAAGTCCAGGGATGTAGTAGCGCCAAGCCACACTCAAAAGGAACAAAGCTCGCAACGCAAGAATATTCCCAACTTTGGTCTTCTCGCAGGCAGTGTTGAAGCCAATAGGCCTATCTCGAGAGCGTAGCGGAGGCCGTCTGATGAGAGAAAAAGTAGTGCAAACGGGCTCCACCATAATGCTTCCCAGACTTCCTGAGACCAGCAAATGGCTAATCCACGACACCACTCTTGTTAGCCTCATGTCAAGCTCGTCACTGAAAGCAATGTCAATAGGTGGCCCAACGACATAGCCCAGCTGATCCATCGCTTGAGTGACTCTTGAAGATCCAGCGTATACTTCGATGAAATCAT